ACCCAGTACTTCCACTGCTAGGTATATAGCCAAGATAATTAAAAACATATGTTCACACAAAAACTTGTGTATAAATGGTATAGCAGCATTATTTATAATAGTAAAAAAGTAGAAACAATTCAAATGTTCAAGAACGGATTGATGGATAAACAAAAGTGCTATATCCATACAATGGACTATTACTCAGGCAAAAAGGAATGCAGTTGACCCATGCTACAACATGGATGAACCTTAAAAACATTATCCTAAGAGAAAGAAGCAAGACATAAAATACCACATATTATATGATTCCATTTATACAAAATTTCCAGAATACGCTAACTTATATGGACGGAAAATTAGTTTAGTTGTTGCCAGGGATTGGGGAGAGAACAGAGTGGGTAGTGACTACTAAAAAAAAAAAAAATATATATATATGAGGTTTCTTTTGGGGTCATAAAAAATTTCTGGAGTCACATAGTGGCAATGGTTACAAAAGCTTGTGGACATACTAAATAACCCACTGAACTGTGCACTGTACAATGGTGAGCTTTATGGCATGGGAATTATATCTTGAAGGTAAATGACACCCATTTATAGTGGGAAGGTCACGATGGCTGTGAGAACAGACCAGAGGTTGGAGTGAGTGATACCTTAACAACCGTACCGGTGAAAAAGGCCTCAAAAGGGCGTGACCTGGACATGTCCCAGGACGAAGTTCACTCTTTCACCCACAGTGGTGGTGGCAGAGGGTGGAGCCATAGTGCTGACTTTAGGGAGTTATTTCTTATAACCCTTCCTGAGAACTCATTTTCCTTAAGGGCTCTGAGCCTCCTTCATCTGGGTCCTAGGCTCCGTGCCCCTGAAGAGCTTATAATGGGGCATCTGATGCAACAGCTCACATACTTTTTAATAACTCCCATTGCTCTTACCCTCAGCAGCCTGAGCCCAGCGCCAATGCACAAGTTAAGCCTAACTTTTGTCCTCTGAGGCATGTCCCTTCCCTGAAGGCCAATCCTATATGTGTTCCTGGTCTTAGAGGGCCAGAAACATGGAGCTGCAGGAGGAGGGTGGCCTGAAAGACGGGAGGCTGTAAGCCCACTTTGGGCTGGAGGTAGGTGATGGGCCCAGTGTCCTTCCCATGAACAAGTAAGTCAGCACTGAGGATGCTCCTGGCCAGAACCTATTGTAAGACAAGCATGGGGCCCTAGCCAATTTGGCTCAGTGGATAGAGCGTCGGCTTGTGGACTGAAGGGTCCCGGGTTTGATTCTGGTCAAGGGCATGTGCACACATGGCGAGCTCAATTCCCATTGTGGGGTGTGCAGGAAGCAGCCGATCAATGATTCTCTCTCATCATTGATGTTTCTATCTCTCTCTCTCCCTCTTCCTTCCTCTCTGAAATCAATAAAAATGTTTTAAAAATATTTTTAAAGTAACATAAACATGGAGTAGAGAGGAGTTATGGGAATTCATTGGGCAAGAATGCTGGGGGGGGGCAGGATTTGGGGGACAGTTGATTTTATCTAGAACTAAGACTTTTTGTCTGTACTGGCTTATATGTTGGGTGGAATTCAGGACAGAGGGTGGGAGGGAGAGAGGAATATAGATGCAGCTGCTCTCGCCCCTGCCTCCCACAAACCATCCACAGCGAATTCCCACACCTCAGAGAAAACAAACCAAGCCTTTCTCACACGTCCCACCCTGCGATGTTTCCCTTTTAATCCTCTTTTATTCCTTCACCTTCCTCCTTCTCCTGCTTCTCCCACCCACTCCAGGTTTGCATTCCTTCTCCATTGCTGTGCCTCCATCTTATCTTTCCTGAAATCTTGTGTTTAATAAAACCTGTTAGTGCTCCCCAGATGACCACCAACCAGATTCACCCCCATTTTTTGGAACCACTTATTCCTCCTCCTCCTCCTCCTCCCCTCCTCTCTCCGAGTCCTGTGCGGACTGATCTCCCGAGAGCAGGACAGATGGGAGACAAGATTGAGTAACACCGGAAAGGAGCCTGAGCCCTCCCGTTACCCCAGACGTACCAGGTCCCCTTTTTAGGTCTCTCTGTTTTCTCTCCCATCTAGACCCCCCTCTACAGTTATTCTCTGTGTGGGCAGGTGGGAGAATCATTTCCAAAGAATGTTGTGGGTGTGGAGAAAGAACGCTGGCCGTGCTAAGACAACGCTCCCAGGCTCATCCATCTGGTGATGCTGGGAATGTGGATCCGTGGACGCCCTTCAAGGCCCCTTAAGCTGAACCTTCTCATGCGGTGGCTGCTCCGTCTCCTCCACCTCTCTCAGTGGTCTGACGCCCCCCTGGCTCCATCCACTAGAAACACACCCAGCGTTCTTTTGGAAAACACCCATGAGAACGGTTATGTGTGCACTAGGAACTGTGTAGCCCCAAACATATCAGCTTTACACTGAATTTGCAAACACATGTGAAGCGACAGAGGCTTCCTTATGGAAAAACACCGAGACATGGCAATGCATGGAAGAGCTAATCCTCTTGGGCCTTGAAGGAGGGTTAGAATCCAGATGAGCGAACAGGATGGGATGGCGATCAGGTCGGGCCCTGGCTTGACAAAAGGCACTGAGACCTGAGGCATGGGGTGGGGGGGGGCGCCAGGACTCTTAGAGGGGGAGTGAGGAAAAAGAGAATTATAGTTGTGAATACAATTCTGGGACTAATCATCCTGTGTCACCTGCGACAACCTCTTTCACCCTCAGTCTACTTATCTGTGAAGTGGGGATAATTAATAGTACTTAATTGTCAGGGATTTAGTTCTTGTAAGTTCTTGACATTATATTTACAATGGTATCAAGACCATTCAATGGAGAAAAATAGTCTCTTCAAAGAAATGGGGGCAACTGGATAACCACATGCAAAACAATAGGGTTGGACCCTCACTTCATGCCATTTGTAAAAATGAACTCAACAGGAATTAACTATCTGAATATAAAAACTAAGAACATATCTATATTTTATAAGTATGAGAACAGAACATGAAAATCAAACAGGACAATGCTTACAAAACGCTCAGCACAGGGAATAGCACACAATGTAAACACAATACGTGCTTACTCCTTCAATGGCCACAATTACTGTCGCCAACAAAGGGCATTTCATTGCTTCTGCTGCCGCTGAGGGGCAGACGGGTCTGCAAAGACAGGTAGGGGCCAGGTGGTGAGGAAGCCCCTGAAAAACCATCTAAGTATGAATTCTTTCCTGTAGACAATGAAGAACCACGGGAATTTTTTTTTTTTTTTGAGGAATTCATAATCAATTTGATTGGGTTCAGACCAGAAGGCCATGGGTGTTGAGGACCTTTATATTTGTCCTCTCTCGCCCCTTCCCCCCTACATTCTTTTGGGCTTGTTTCTTATAAGCTGGGGGGTTTTTTGTTTGTTTGTTTTTTTCTTCTTCCAGTAAAGCTCTTGGCCACCTTCTTCCTCTTCACCAGAGAGGCTGTGACTGCCTGATAGTTCCCGCCAACTCCAGGAGCCCGGCGCCCCAGGTAGGCAAGCTTCCATTCAGGTTTCAGATGCACAACTTGGAGGGCGGCAGGAACTACTGTTTGCTTTTTCTTGTCATGGGGCGGCAGGATTCCAATGAACACCTGGAGGCGGTCCAGGGAAGCCAGGCCTCCCCTGGTCTTGGGCAGCAGCGTGCGGAGCACAGTCTGCCTAAAGAAGTAGCTGGGGCCGGCTAGGAAGCAGGAGGGACCATGGGATGGGGTGATGTGCATCTGCTTGCTGGGGAAAGCCAGACACTTCAACTTGTTTGCCAGATACATGGATGCCCTCACAGTGTGCATCTCTGACTGATAAAGGTGTATAAGAGGGGATGATAGTTGGAATCTTCATACGGACAAAGATAAAAAGAGAGATCCTAAAGCTATGCTGTTGGCATTTTAGGAATCAATGACCAGGTGGGAGAGCTGGGTTGGGGATGAAGGGTCAGGGGTCAGGGGCTTTCTCAGAGAGAGTAAACCACACCATTGAGGCTGCAGCCCACGCAGTCTCACCTCCACATGGACACAAAGCCAGAGACAAAGCCTTATCGCCCTCTGCGGGAGGGGGGGGGGGGGGGTTGCTGTGGCAACGGCCCAGAAGTGTCTGCTCCCCTCTTGCCTGCCTCAGGGCTTCTCGCCCTGGTGAGCTGGGACACGCCCACCATAACCCGGCACCCACAGGTCATTTTCCTTCAGAAGTCTGCCAGGGCTTCTCCGCTGCCCATGGAGACACTTTTCCAACGGTCCTGTGCCAAGGAGTCAGGGAGCCACAGGACAAACAGATGCCTCTCCCTGAAGCATCATCTTTACACAGCTCTTTAGGATAAATGTGAGTTTTGAATGAGACAAATGTGCCATATTTTGAGGTCCGTAATACCTCACAGATAATGTTAGAGATAATTCTGCTTTATATTTGTGTAATAAGTTGATAGAACTTCTTTTTGCATATATTTTTTTCAACTCCCTTGTGAAAAGGGCATCCGTGGAATTCTGCTGTCCCTGCCCTAGAAACAGGTGAGAGGCAGGGAGGGGAGAGTGTTCCGTGATTATGATCTTCCTTGGGGGAGAAGGGGACTTGGCAAATTTTCCTGAATGCTGTCTAGAACCTCCACCTGCTGAACTAAAGAACATGTGTCTTCCCTACCCTATATTTATTATATATATAACACCTTGGGCTTACCAAAGTTTTACAAGCCACAACACCTAAATTACAGATTTTGTAACATAGAGATCCACACGTGAAACCTATATGTTCCTGTTGACCCATGTCACCCCAATAAAATTTAATTTAAAAACACACACAAAACCCTCTCAAAATATGCTCTAGAAACACAATAGAAAATTCACATCCATGTAAAAATAGAACACATAGAAGTTCAAGGAAGTTTTGCACTTGTCCTGGGCTGCATGGGGTCCCCCTGCACACGGCTCCCTGGTGAGCTGGGACACACTCCCTATAGGACAAATGCCCTTAGAGAAATATTTCTGCACAAACGATTGAGAAGCACTGACCACCCTACCTCGGCTACAGTCCGGATCTGCTTGTTTTTCTTTACATTTGTCTCTGAATTGGCCCACAACAATTTTGTCAAATGCACACCCCTCTTCCTTCTACAATGAGCCATACGAATCTTTTGAAACCCCTGTGGTGAAGAAGCATCTATTTGTGTATTTAAAATGATTCGTCTCTACTTTTCATACTCTTTAGGTTTTTGCACCAAGGTTGGTGATATTTGTGGTCAGGGATACTTGCTGGCATGTTGATTCATGGATTGATTGATTCAACTGTATCTGTGGAGCCTGTGGTTCACAAGGTACATATTGGGGTCAGCGGGTAGGAGTCAGAGATGAAACCCACGGACAAGGACAGCATGGTTCTTAAAGGGAAAGACCCATCCATGCCAGCAACACAATGTAGGGTGTGGTTAGGGAGATGAGCCTGGGAGAGCCTCGAGAAATAGATTCAACTCCACGCAAGGCTCTCCTACGCTTCCTCTTGGGATAATACAGAATAATGACTTTGATCAACTCCATCCTGACACGCCGCAGGAAAACGAGTGAATTTTCGTCATTTTTGCTTTGCAGGTTTCTCTCTGGGCATGTGGGGAAGGCCCCATGGAACCACAGAACCTCACATGGGTGTCCGAGTTTGTCCTCTTAGGGCTCTCCCAGACCCAGGAGCTCCAGAAATTCCTGTTCCTGGTGTTCCTCCTTGTCTATGTCATCACTGTCGTGGGAAACCTCCTTATCATGATCACGGTGACTTTTGACTTCCGGCTTCACATGCCCATGTATTTTCTGCTTCGGAATCTGGCTGTCATAGACCTCTGCTATTCCACAGTCACTTCTCCGAGGATGCTGGTGGACTTCTTCCGTGAGACGAAGACCATCTCCTACCAGGGCTGCATGGCCCAGATCTTCTTCTTCCATCTCCTGGGAGGTGGGACCGTCTTCTTCCTCTCCGTGATGGCCTATGACCGCTACATTGCCATCTCCCAGCCCCTCCGCTACGCCACCATCATGAATACTCGGCTGTGTGTGGGGCTGGTGGTAGCTGCTTGGGTAGGGGGCTTTGTCCACTCCATTGTCCAGCTGGCTCTGATGCTTCCGTTGCCTTTCTGTGGCCCCAATGTCCTGGATAACTTCTACTGTGACGTCCCACAAGTGCTGAGACTCGCCTGCACAGACACATCCCTCCTAGAGTTCCTCATGATCTCCAACAGTGGGCTGCTGGTCCTGGTCTGGTTCCTCCTCCTCCTGGCCTCGTACACGGTCATCCTGGTGATGCTGAGGTCCCACTCGGGACAGGCCCGAAGGAAGGCAGCGTCCACCTGCACCACCCACATCATCGTGGTGTCCATGATCTTCATTCCCTGCATCTACATCTACTCCCGGCCCTTCACGTCCTTCCCCATGGACAAGGCTGTGTCCATCAGCTACACCGTCATGACCCCCATGCTCAACCCCATGATCTACACCCTGAGGAACCAGGAGATGCAGGCGGCCATGAAGAGGTTAGGCAGACACCTAGTGATGTGCAACAGGGAGTGAACTTTAAAAAGGTCGACTTGAAATGGCAAACTTCCCTCTGAACGTTTGTTACCCCAGGTGGAAAATGGAGGAAAAGTCTTTATGAGAGTGTGATGATTAAGATTAAATGAATATTTCTACGGACCCACTCCTGTGTCAGATACTGTGTTGGGCACTGTTATACTTTTACCTCATTCTCATAAAGCTCATAAGGAATACCCTATTTTTATATCAAACGGTTTTACCAATGAGGAAACTCAGAGAGAAATGACTTGCTCAATAGTGAACCGCAAGGGGGTTCCTCTGACTCCAAGATTAGAGGTATGAGACATGGATGGGATTTAAAACTCAGGGTTGCCCTAGCCAGTTTGGCTCGGTGGATAGAGCGTTGGCCTGTTGACTGAAGGGTCCCAGGTTCAATTCCGGTCAAGGGCATGTACCTTGGTTGCAGGCACATCCCCCGTAGGAGGTGTGCAGGAGGCAGCTGATAGATGTTTCTAACTCTATGCCTCTCCCTTCCTCTCTGTAAAAAAAAATCAATAAAAGATATATATTTTTTTAAAAAACAACAAAATTCAGGGTCTCCTCATCCATGGATCAACATCTGTGATAACTAGTCAACAGTTTCATCTTACCTCTGGAACAATCATTCTTTTTCACTCCCTGCCTCATTATCTATTGTGGTATTTGGGAAGTGGTCTCACTTTTAACATTGTATAAATATCCAATATTTCCCATAAGGACATTTGCCCTTAGGATTTCTTTTCCTACCAAATACCCCTTGTATAACCTGCGAACTGTTCTACTTTTCCAACATGGTCTTTACATCAGTTGGATGAGTTGGTTGAGAGGAGAAGTATGTAGTTTGGGGGACCAAGGTCAGAGAAGGCGGGGCATGTCTATCCACGTTCCGGTTCTGGGGTGGGGCGCTCAGTCCGAGGCTAACACCTGGTGGGTGTTCTCTTTGACTTCCTGCCCTGGGATGGGAACGCCAAGAGGGCAGATGCTCTGCTTTCTTCACCTTTTAAGTCCTCCCAGCGCCTTGAGCAGTACCTTCCACAGAGAGGCATTTCAGTTTTTCCTGCATCTTGTTCTTTCCCCTGCCAATTTCAGAATCTACTTTTTCTGTTTCTCTATGTTAACATTTATTCCCTCCATCTCCTTTGAAGTATCCTTCACTTTGTAAAAATCTCTGGTCAGGTATTCTGTTGATTCAAAGTTAAGAAGATAATGTAGAAGCTTTTTGTTCCTTCTTCCCTTCTGGAAACCATCCCATCCCAAGAAATAAAAGTCCTTTGGGGCTCTCTCTAAGCCATCATGGCAACTCTGACTCCACCCTCTTCCACCTCCACTTTCCTGTCCTCGTTTCTCACATTTCTCCCTACTCACAGTGGACCTTAGGAGATGAGGGGAGAGAGAATGGACTTAGTGTCATATTTGATCTGTGTGGTCACTCAGAACAGCTTTTCTTGCTTTTATGTTAATTTTTTTTTTAAAACGACTGATGATACGTTTCTCATCCTCCAATTTGCCTCTTCTCCGGATGCAGCGTCTGTATTCCTTCAATTGTCCCTGTCGTCACAAGTTTCCTGACTCCACCATCCTCTGTGACATCACCCTATGACAACATCCTCCTTAAGATGAGATGCTCCCCACGTGACACACTGCTGCGCTGGGGGTGTGAACTCTTTAGAAAATGGTTATCCCACTTTAAATATATATTACTAGAGGCCCGGAGGCCCAGTGCATGACATTCATACACTGGGGGGCCGGCGGGGGTGTGAAGGGGTGATTCCTCAGCCCAGCTTGAGCCTTCTTGCAGTCTGGGGTGTCCAACTGCTGTGGAGGTGGGAGAGGCTCCTGCCACTGCCTCTGCGCTGGCCAGCTGTGAGCCTGGCTTCTGGCTGACCACCAGGGGGCAGCTCCTGTGTTGAGTGTCTGCCCCCTGGTGGTCAGTACACATCACAGTGACTGTTCAGTTGATTTGCATATTAGGGTTTTATTATATAGGAGGATAAGAATGCTTTTGACTGCAAATAGCAGAACAACAACAACAACAAAACAGTGGAAAAAATAATGAGGAGATTATCTCACTGTAAAAGAAAGACTAGAAGATAGGAAATTCCAAAGTTGGTTAATTCAACAGCTCAAACATTTTAGAGCTCTGGATTGGCTGTTCTGAAATTCCTTGCTTTTCTCCTCATGATGGCACTATGACTGCCAAACTTCAAGGCATCAGATCTTTATATTCAAATAATCAAGCGAGAAGGACTAGAATAGGCGTCCATGTGGTTTTTCATTTATACCAGGGGACAAAAATTTTCCCTGAACCACTTCAGCAGAATTTTCCTATGATTTGATGCCAGAACTGGGTCATATGGTCACCCAGTCTGCAAAGGGAAATGGAAGGGCGAATGTCTGGCTTTTTCAGTCAGGAAGAAAAGGTTTGGGAATGGCCATCAGTGGTGTCTGTCATAGGTATAAGCTTCTGGAAGTAGAGACATGATTGGCCTGACTCAAAAATATTTTAAAAAATATATATTTAATGGAGAACCAAAATGGCCTGTACTGGTTGCCTCCTACAACCACATCAAAATTACAACTAAAATAGAGCACATCATCCAGAATCACCTGAAAGCTGACTGAATGAAGTCTTACAACTAGAGAAGAAAGCACATCGAGATGGGTAGGAGGGGAGATGGGCAGGAGGGGCAGAGGCCCCCGGACTAGGCTGGTTGACACCCATGTGTGCCGGTTTTAATCCTGAGGGTTATGTCTCTGTGGAGGCTGCCCCTGAGGAGCAAGGGGTCCCAGCCCCACACCACATCCCAGCCCAGGGTCCCAGAGCTGGGGAGAGAAGTCCCCGTAACTTTGGGTCTTAAAAACCAGAGGGGATTTTGGCTGAGTGACACAGAGGCTGCTGTATCCCAGGTGTTCCTCTTAAGGGCCCGCGCACAAACTTACAAGGTCTCCTTCTTCTGGTCTCTGATGTTAGGGGAGGGGGTGGTGGTGGCGGCAGGAGCTCAGGGTTGGCTTTCTCCCTGAGGCGGGTGGGAGGGTATGGAGGGGAGGGGGGAATGCTCGCAAAGATCATTGTTCCTGTGCTGGGCATCCTCTGTCACAGGGCTGACTGACAGCCATGTCAGCGTGGCCCACATTGCTTGCTCAACCCCGGGGAATCCCTGAGATCCCACCTCTTCTGATTTGCAGCCCCACCCAAGCTGTTTGCAACTGCTTTTCCATAGGAATGGCCTGCCCTGGCTCAGGCCTCGGACTTGGTTAAAGTCTTTCAAACAAGCTGCAGCTGATCACTGTGCCCAAACCATCAGCCAAAGGTCCCAGTCGCGGCTCTAGCACGGCCTACCTTGCTTCATAGCTAGGCCTCGCCTCCTGCACACAGCTCTCCCACAATGGCAACAAGCACACATCTATCAACAACTAAATCTAAAACTCAAAAGAACAAGAAGTCTAATGAACAGAATGAACTGGTGAATAAAACAGAATCAGAGGCATGGAAGCATGGAACAGACTGACGAATCTCAGAGGGAAGGGGGAAAGGGGGAAGGAAGAGATTAACCAAAGATTTTACCTGTGGACACAGACAGTAGGGTGGTGAAGGCCAGAGGTGGGGTGGGACCCGGGTGGAGGGGGGCAATGGGGGAGGGGGAGGCAACTGTAATACTCTCAACAATAAAGATTAAAAAATAAAATATATTTATTGACTGATTTTAGGGATGGGGGAGAGAGAGAGAAAACATCAATTTGTTGTTCCGCTTCTTTATGCATTCATTGGTTACTTCTTGTATGTGCCCTAACCGGGGATTGAACCCATAACCTTGGCATATAGGTAGGACGCTCTAACTAACTGAGCTAACTGGCCAGGGCATGAATGCTAGCGTTTTGTAGATGATGTGAGTAGACTAGGATACGGATGGTGAATCAACATGGTGGGCAAAATAAAGGACAAGGCTTACAGGGTAATAAGTTTCCATTGTTGTATACAAACATTTTCCCACCTGAGTAAATATTTTATATTAAGTTTGAAAGCAGAAGAAAAAGAGAAGGAAAGGAGGAGAAGGAGAAGAAAGGAAAGTTTCAAACCGGTTAATCTTGATGATTCCACGAGAGCGACCAGTCTGCTGTGCTGAGAAGCAAGCCAGTGGTTCTCAATGTGTTGTCCCAGGAACAGGAGCGTCTGCAGCGTCTGAGGGCTTGTTACAAATGGAAATTCTTGGCCTCGCCGTTGACCAGCTGAGTGAAAAAGTCTGGGGCTGGGGCACACTAATTTGTTTTTCAACAAGTTTCGCAGGTGATTCAAGGGTAAGAATCACTGGCATAAGAAACAGGTTCTAAAACTCGCAGAGAGCCCGGCTGGTGTGGCTCAGTGGTTGAGCATCAACCTATGAACCAGGAGGCCACAGTTTCAACTCCCAGTCAGGGCACATGCCTGGGTTGTGGGCTCAATTCCCAGCAAGGGAGTGTGCGGGAGGCAACCGATCCAAGTTTCTCTCTTATCATGCATGCTTCTATCCCTCCTTTCCACTTCCTCTCTAAAATCAATACACACACACACACACACACACACACACACACACACACACAAGCAAACAAACTCGCAGGGAGCCTGTTCCTTTTGAAGAGATGCTTGACCTTTTGGATCGTGGCCTGAGCATCCTACATCCCACAAATCTCTAAACGTTCATTATCCTTGGTACCTTTGGCCCCCAAGGAGGAACTCTCAAAGAGTATGTGTTTTTGAGACATTTATAAACTTTTTAACAACTCCCATTGCTCCTTCGGCCCCAGTGGTAATCAGCCCAGTCCTGCTTCCTGAGCCCACTCCAATCATCTCTCCCTGAAGATACCGCCTCATCCCCTAGGGTCACACCCATTGTGTGCATGATGTATGGGCAGTGGGTAGGAAACTGAGGCTGCAGGAAAAGGATCTTCCAGAAGATGTAAGACCTGATGTCTCTCTCTCCTTCTGAGAGACCAGGGTTTCCCCAGCTGTAAATAGATCAGCTATAAGAAGGATCTGGGAACACTTGCTGGAGTGTGGGGAGAATAAACAAGTGACATGGACTTGATGGGAGTAAGTCTCAAATGTGAAGAGAGCCTCAGGCAGAAATGCAGGGGAATGTGATGTTGAACACTGAGGCCTCAGGTTGCATGTGAAAACCCAGGCTTTTAAGGATTGAGGGAGGCATTGGCCCTGTGGGTTAGAGGGAGGATGCTGAGAGCAAAGGGTAAGGAAATAACACCGTAAAATTCTCCACATAGTCACTTAGAACAAGATCACATAAATTGCCTACTAATACATTAAGTCAGAAAACGTAAGTATGTTTTTCTACCTTGAATTGATTTACAAAAGCTCAGTAGGGGACTTCTAAGAGTCTGAGTTTTAAGTGGTGGGCACCGCATGATCAAAAGATTGCACGGAGGGAGAAACAAGATCAGATTGTGAGTGTAGAAAGATCACTTGACAGCTATCTAGAAAATGGGCTGGAGTGCCAGCAAATGGAAGCAGAAGGATGAGACAAGACTTCTAATAGATAATAGAATGCAGCAGGCAGCTGGGAGAGGATGGAAGGCTGAGACACGGTGGTGGGATTGGGAGGCCACGTAGCCTCTCCTTTGTTACCCTCGGTCTCTCATCTTCCATCCCCTTCCCCACTTTGGTCCTGTTCTCTCCCCACCACTTCATTACCTCTCCACTCCCTGGTCCTTCACTTGCTCTATTCCTTTATCTCACTCCTCTTCATCTCCCTTCTTTATTCGTTTGTCTATTCTATGTCTCTTATTTCAAAATCACCCTTTGTTTTCTACCCTTGTATTCAGTAACATATTTTAAAATTCTTATTCCTTTCAAAGGAGCTCTTTGAGTCCCCTGCATACAATTTCACCATCATCTATTTCTTAATCCAGAGAATTTCTCTCACCCATCTCTCTTATCTCAGTATATACACCATGCATGTCCTGTCTTCACTCAGCACGGGGCCACCTACATTAGAAAGGTGCAGGGGGCTCATCCTATAGCTATTCGACCATGTAGCAGCCAATATCACAAGCTTTTTGATTAGTATTTATCAGCAAGATTGGGCACAAATAAACTATAAGATCCACATTTATGTCTCTGGGAACTTACAATGAATTATGGAGGAAAAAACACAGACACGTGAAAAGTTCATCAACATTATAATGTGTTCAATGTTGCTTGAAAAATGATGGGTAGAAGAATGTAGTAGAGTCAGGAAGAAGAGAGGATAGGAGGACTATACAGAGGAGAGTGATTGTCATTTATTATTTCCAGGCACTGTTTGAGGAAACTTATGTGTTACTTTATTTCACTCCCTAGACTAGTCTACAAAGAAAACATTTTTATTCTCACCTTGCAGATGTGGAAACTGAGATCCAGAGAGATTAAGTAATCTACTCAAGGTCAAATCTCGAGGACATAGCAGCCCTGAAGTTTGGCTGCAGGTCTGTTGGACTCAAAGCTCTTTCCACCGCTCATTACACTGAATCTTTGAAAGGCAGGCTGCATGTGTCTCTGGATGGCTTTAAGATCTCATAAATATTTATTCCAGCAGCAACTACAAACTCTCCAGAGAGAAGGTCACTTAATCAGCACCCGGTTATACGGTCTGCACATGAGGACCTGGACAAACTGATTTAGCCCGTGAGCACTGAACGTGACTTCATGTATCTACGTGCTGGTTCACTTTCCTCGGGTGTATGGAAGACACGCCATGGAGTCAGGGAACCTCACCTGGGTATCAGAATTTGTCTTCCTGGGGCTCTCACAGACTCGGGAGCTGCAGCTTTTCCTGTTTCTGGTGTTTCTGCTGGTCTACACCATCACTGTTCTGGGAAACCTCCTCATCATGATCACGGTGACCGCAGACTCCCAGCTTCACACCCCCATGTACTTTCTGCTTCGAAACCTGGCTCTCATAGACCTCTGTTTCTCCTCAGTCACTGCCCCGAAGATGCTGGTGGACTTCCTCTCTGAGAAGAAGACCATCTCCTACCTGGGCTGCATGGCCCAGGTCTTCTTCTTCCACTTTCTGGGCGGCGCCATGCTCTTCTTCCTCTCTGTGATGGCCTATGACCGCCTCATTGCCATCTCCCGGCCCCTCCACTATGTCACCATCATGAACACTCAGCTCTGTGTGGGGCTGGTGGTGGCTGCTTGGGTAGGGGGCTTTGTCCACTCCATTACCCAACTGGCTCTGATGCTCCCACTGCCTTTCTGTGGCCCCAATGTCCTGGATAACTTCTACTGTGACGTCCCACAAGTGCTGAAACTTGCCTGCACTGACACGTCCCTCCTAGAGCTCCTCATGATCTGCAATAGTGGGTTGCTGGATATCATCTGGTTCCTCCTCCTCCTGGCCTCGTACACGGTCATCCTGGTGATGCTGAGGTCCCATTCGGAGCAGGCCAGGAGGAAGGCAGCTTCCACCTGCACCACCCACATCGTCGTGATGTCTATGGTCTTCATTCCAAGCATCTACCTCTATGCCCGGCCCTTCACTGCCTTCTCCATGGACAAGGCTGTGTCCATCAGCCACACCGTCATGACCTCCATGCTCAACCCCATGATCTACACCCTGAGGAACCAGGAGATGCAGGCGGCGGTGAAAAGGTTAGGGAGACAGTGCCTGGTTTGTAAAAAGGAGTGACAGTGGGTAGGTCACTTCTCTTTGGCTTTGTTTTCCATTTGGAGAGTGGACAGAGAGCTAGTATCTCTTCTCTTAATAACTGGTGGATATGTGGAGAGGGTCACTGTAGAAATGAGTGAGTTTTGAAACTAAGCAACTTACTCAGATTTTTAGGCAAAGGAAAATTTCTTTGTTTTTGATTGTGATGTATGATTGAACACTCCCATGACAATAAAGTATATTCCCATGGAAACATTCTGGAAAGTCACTCCCTCCTTTCCACCTTCTTGATGGACAGTTTCCTTCTGTGATGACAGCATTTCTCCGTAACAGCAGTTCTGTTTTCTGTATTTTGACCTCTTTTTCCAATTCCCCTTTTGGCCATTGTGCAGAGCCTGGAGACTTAGCCCCAAATTACGGGCCCATGTTCCATTACCTACCAAACGTGTAACCTTGGCTGAGCCACCTGGCCTATTTTGCACTTACGGTTTCTTTCTTAATGAGCTGGCATAAAACAGTATCTGTTCCTACAATCTCACAGATTTGTTATAAGATTCAACATGAAGTCAATCATCGGAACTATGTAAGGATTAATGTTATTGTTACTATTAGGCCTGGCATTTATCCTTTCCTCAGTTGAGTAGTGTTTTGGAAGTAGGGCAGAAATTGGAAGTAAGTGCAGTGAGGGTGGAGGCTGAACTCCAAGGGTCCAAGCAACTTCCCCAAGGGTGAGACAGAGAAGAGAAAGCACATAAATTCAGGGCATGTATGCAAGACTCTGACTTCTTACTGCTATTTCCCTACCTACCCCCATTTTCAGACTCTACAAACAGGAATGGGAGGTCCATTCATTTGTTCATTCATTCATATTTGTGAATATGCATTTGGGACCTGATATAGTTTTCCAGGAAGGGCTCTATAACAGTTTGTGGGCTCTTTATCTCCTTCTTCCCCCTACATTGATAAATATCCTCTCTATACCACCCTTCCCTTTTCACTCTCTCCCTCCCTACATTGATTTCAGCCTGTTTAGTCTTGGCATCCATCTGGCATCCTCTCCCACATCACTGTTGCCCCTAGTTTCCTCTCTGCCTTAGACCCCTTGCTCAAGGTACCCAGGGTGGTACTGGCTCCCAGGCCAGCTCACCAAGGCCCCATAGTAAGTTTTTTTCTGGTCTTACTAAAAACAGAACAACCAGCCCTAGCTGGTTTGGCTCAGTGGATAGAGTGTCGACCTGTGGACTGACGGGTCCCAGCTTTAACTCCTGGTCAGAGCACAAACCTGGGTTATGGGCTCGATCCTCAGTAGGGGATATGCAAGAGACAGCCAATCAATGGTTCTTTCTCGTCATTGATATGTCTACCTCTCTCTGCCTCTCCCTTCTTCTCTGAATTCAATATACAAACAAACAAAACAGAACAACCCGCCTCTCTCAGGAGAGTCCCCAGCACCGGAACATGTACATACAAACATGCACGCATGGGCACACACACCTGGCCTGTCCCAGCCTCCACCTAGTGACCTCGGTGTTCTTGTCATGAGATTAGGTGCAAGGACCCCATTCCCAGGAACCCCTGGGAACAGGAGCAGGCCCACCAGGCCCTGAGCCCTGCTCCACTGCAGCTGTCTCCAGGGGGGCCGTTGGAGCTGAGAGATAACGAGATCCAATCAGGCCTGTGGCCGGAGGGCAGTTTTTGTGAAAGTGGTTGCAGAACGCTGAGGTTTTGAGGTTGGCAGGGGAAGGCGGGAAGAAGGTTCTTGGGTATTACAGCTGAAAGATGCCAGGGAGGGAAGGCTCCTGCGTGGCCTTGGGTCAGAGCCTCAGCCTGTAGGACCAGTCTCTGCAAAGGTGTCCACTCTCCTGGGGCTGGCCTGACCCAGAGCGAACACTGCCCCTGACCAAGGGCACCAGGTCCTAATAGATGTACAAGCACAAACCCAATGCCTGACCCAAGAGCTGTGACAGGCAAGGTCACAGCAGATGCATCCATCCCACAGATATGCACTGAGGCCCTGCCAGGCATCGTGTCAGGTGCTGAGGCCACAGTGAGCAATGTGACAGGCACACAGCTATTGTGTGTGGCACTCACAGACCTGCAGGGAGCTGTAGCTTCACCAGAGCCACCCACAGACATACACGTGCAAATAATCAGTGATGTTAAGTTCTGTGAAAGAAGCTGTAAGAGTAAGGACCAGGGAGACCTAGATACTTGTTTTGGACAGGAAAGGCTTCCTAGGGAGGGGGCCTGGAGGGTCAGCAGGAGTCGTCAGCCACAAAAGGGGAAGGGTCTTCATGGCTGAGATCCATAGCAGGTAGGATAGGCCCATTGCTGGAGCTGAAAGCCAGAGGGTTTAGAGGGCAGAGGAATAGAGAGAGGAGACAGGGCTCTGGAGAGGGGAGGTGGCAGGAGAGAGCTGGGGCCCCCCTTTCTTTAGGAGAAGCTGCACGAGGCCAAGGTGTGTTGGCAGAGGGAACAGTAAGCTCATGGGACCCGTGGTTCCCAGTCCCTCAGGCCACATAGTCCTATGGCCACCAGGGAGAGAGGGAGAGCTAGCTGGTCAGGACCCTGATCCCTGAGGATGTCCCCATCCTTCCTCTTGCCCCCTTATTCACAGTTTCTAAGCAGCCTTGTCTCCTCCTGTCATCCGAGGGGTCATTTTGATGTGTCCCATTACAAATTTTTTCTTCCTATGTGGCTCGGTCTTGGAATCTGATTTGCAAACGGAAAAAGGGCTCTACTGCATGACTCCCCAGCCCGAGGTCCAACCAGGCCCAAGCCTGTAAGCTTCAAATGAAGGCATCTGTGCTCTTTATCCTTCATGCAAGCACTGAATTCTACGTGGACGTCACTTCTCAGTCCCACGGTGGCTCCTTCGGACACACGCATTAGCTCTGAGAGTGGAATCAGGTTTGGAATCCTCTGAGCTGGTGGCGGCGGCTACACGTCACGCCTCCTGTCTCCTGCAGCGGTGCGTGTTCGTGCGTTTAAACAGCCGATGTGAACGGCAATCACACAGCGATCGTGAAGTGAAGAGACAGGACTGGATGTCTTTCAATTCTGTCACGCCACGTGACCCTGTGGAGTTATAATTTGTGTTTAAAATTTAAAACATTGAAGCAGAATGCAAACTGCTAAGGATCATATTTTTAAGTGCAAATCTTACTTTATACATGGTGATTTTGCTGAAGTTGAATATCTTTGCCATTAAAGCGTATCCTTTTTAAAAATGTTTTTTTTTTTTTTTAAACCAAAAAACAGAAAAAAATCGAGAAAAAAAAAGCTGGCCTGGCAGGGGTGGAGGCGGGAGGGTGCTGTGTGTGGAGGATTCAGGGGGCCGGGCTAGGGGCAGGGCCCTGTGGCAGGGCGGGCGGCAGAAAGCAGGCTAAAGGGGCAGGAGTCCAGGCGGCAGAGGCTAGCGTACCTTTGGTCCCTTAGCCTGCATTCCTGCCTGCCAGTCCTGCCCCGGCCATGCCCGGAAAACCCACCCTCCATAAATTGGTTGTATAGGGCCCCTCGGCAGCCCCTTTCTATCTGCTTGTCTCTCATCAGCACCTCGAGCAGATCAGCCAATATGGCAGGCAGGATCTAGAGCCCAGGGCCCTGTCTCCAGCTTGTCCCAATAACCTGCAGCAGCCCCCGCTGTGGCAAACCCCTGCACACTCACTACTCTGAGCTAGAGTCCTCTAGGAGGGCAAGCAGCGCTCACGCTGAGTTCTCCTTTGCAGGTGCTGGCAGGTAGGCAACCTAGGTCCCACCCTGGCTGCCAGCCTCCTGGGAGTACCTGGCTCCCCCAGGTCCAAAAGGGGAAGCACATTTGAGGAGGAGGCTCCCACTTTTTAACTCTCTCCTTCCGGAGGCTCCCTGTCCCTGTGTCACAGAGGTGGACGCCGAGGTCCAGGGAGTGAGGTGGTTCACCCCAAGCCATGCAGGGGGGAAGCGCACTTTTGGCACCTCCATGGAGATGAGACTTTCCATCCCGGCCCCCTGTTAACAGGAGAGGGGCCCCTGCTGAAGATAAGGAGATAAGATCAGGGCCCAGGACTTCAACTGGAGCTTGTGAAAGGGATTGCTGAATGGGGCTGTTTCAAGAGCAACTGTCAGGCAGGGCGTTGGTGTGGGCGGAGGGGTCTGCCAAGGCCTGGGGCTGGGTTTAGGTAGGGCATGGGGGATAGAGAGTGAGAGTCAAGGACAGTCAGACGGGACTAGAGGCAGAAATGCAGGCAAAGGGACCAAAGGGGACGCTAGCATCTGCCACCTCCAGCCTGCTTTCTGCTGCCCGCCCTGCCACAGGGCCCTGCCCCCAGCTCCTGCCCCCTGAATCCTCCACACATAGCACCCTCCCGCCCCCACCTCTGCCAGGCCAGCTTCTGTTTTCTCGATTGATTTTTTTGTTTTGTTTTTAAAGAGGAAAAAAAAAAACATTTTAAAAAGGATAAGTTTTAATGGCAAAGTATTCAAATTCAGTAAAATCGCCATGTATAAAGTAAGATTTGCACTTTAAAATACCATACTTAGCAGTTTGCATTCTGCTTCCATGTTTTAAACACAAATTATGACTCCGGATAGCTCTGCTGGGAGTCTGGAGCAGGGACCGGGATGGGCAAGTCCACCTGCAGATGCAGGGAGGACAGGCGGGCTGCAGAGCTCAGCGGGTGGGGGTGATTCTGGAGCCCCGCATGGACAGATAAGCACCGGTTCCCCAGGGAGACCAGGCTGCGGTCAAAGCAGAGGGTGAGCCTGGCTCCTGCAATGGTGGGAACTGCAGGAGGCAAGATAAGAGGGTGTGAGAGGGCCTGTCGCTTGAGGGGAAAGACCCACTGGGGTGTTCTACCCTTAAGATATGGAAATGAAGGCTTAGCCTAGGTCCCACAGGTAGTGACCGAGCCAGACCCAACCCAGGTGGCCCTGAGCCCCTGCAGCAAGCCTCCTCCAAGGAGGCCCTACAGGAAGTCAGATTTACACCTGCTACTCAGCGCCCACCTCCTACTGCTAAGCATTTACATTGGAGGAGGAGCAGGAAGCCCGACAGGTCCTCAGCGGTGATGGCGGATGGAGGCGGCTGCCATTGTTCTGCTGGGTGCTTTACTGGGACATCTCACGGTGTCCCCAGATGACCTCGTGAAACAGACTCTTAATTTTCAGGCCCCGACTCAGTCATCTCTCCACTGGCATCTTGGAGGGAGCTGGTAGGGTAGGGAGTAAGGAGCAGGGGCTGAATCATTCATCTTTCAACATGAATTTACTC